TGTTCAAATTGATGTCACAGGTCAATATATAATTAAATTCCAATACAGGCTAATTGGGACAGTTCCTTGGGATTTTCTTTTAGGGAATTTGAAATATTGGGTCATCGCTCTGAACTCTGTCCCCTCAACAATACCCTTTCAGAAATGTTTCAGCTACGAATAATTGGGAATATCCTTTCCATTAGCCAATGAATGATTAAAAATGCCCTTAGAATGAAGATAACTTGATAATTCATTTAAGGTTCTCTAACTTAGTTGCATTTCAAAGAGGCTACTGAGCTCCCCAACTGAAGAGGCCATAAATTTAACAGTCTGGGACCATCTGCTCTTACAAGTCTCGTTCCACACATAGCACCAAAGTCCTAAAGAACTAAGATGAGGTAGAACGAGTATTAATTCATTGATGCCAAAGGGTTGGATTATCTTGTTCCCATAGGACATCAGGTAAAGAGATTCATGAACATGGATAGAGCCAAGGAGTTAAACATAAAAGTATGTTGCAAAATTACAGGAAATGCTGGTTTCAGTATAACTGGATCTTCTCCAAAGGAGTACTGCTTATCTTGATATTTTCTAATGCCCTTCACTCAGTCTCTAGTTTATTTACAGTGAATAACTGCCCATTGTTACCTATTCTGATAAAGGAACATCTAAGGCCTAGTATCTGAGGCCAGACTGGATTAAGGCTTGGACTCGTGCCTTGTCTGAAGAATTTCTTGTTTGTGAAATTCCACCCAGACAACATTTTCAATGGTCCTTTTGTATTTAAAGAGGAATTAAAACACTTTGGTAAATAAATATGGCCACATTTGAAGTCAGTAGCAATAATGAAACCATAAAAGCACCTTCAAACTCTTGATTGTTAACTCTCAAACTTTAAAAATCCTATAGCATATACAAAAGCAGTAAACATTCTTTTAGTGCTTCTCTGCAAAAGGCCACATCCCAAGAGTAGTATGTTTGACTTTCATTTCATCACATCACAAGTATCACTTCACAGTTACATTATGTTCCCTCTGCAACTAGACACCAACTTTGCATAGTACACCTGATACAGGGATTCTTGCCACGGCTGAGTTCCTTGAATAAAATCAATCAAAATATTATTAACATTTGCATTCATGCAGTGTGATTAAGATAGAAATTACACTAACAAACTTGTTAGAATTTACACACTCAAATGAACACTGTTTCCTTCAAAAAGTCATCTTGAGAAGCTATAGTTATTCCAAAATTGGGAGCAGCTGTTTGGGGGGGTGGGGTGTGTGTGTGTGTAAGAGAGAGAGGGCGCCAAGAAACCACATGTCTCTTGACGTTATGATTCTTTCCTATAATTTCCATGCCTGGACATTTGGACAATTACTACAGTTTCTCTGATGGGGGCCACAATAAATTTTCTGAAATCCTAACGCTACTCCCAATCCCTGTGCACACTGAACTTGGAAGTGATTACTTTAGGGATCCTAACACGTTACTAAGACCCACAGTGGCGAATTCCTCCCATTACCCCTCCTCAGCTGCCACCTGAGCCCATCCCTGCTGTGGGAGCTCTCCTACCTGCTATAGATCTCTGACAGCCATTCTGTGGGAAATTCCTTCTCTTGTCCCTGTACACAGCCCAATTCAACTCCTGTCTCTCCACCTAGGGATCTGCCCCTCATGATGCAAGACTGAGACAACTTTATGGGCACTTGGGCTTCTGGTTACTGTTATTATTCCATTATATTGTGGATTAAGAAAGATTTAGAGTTGCTTGACAATACAGTAATTTTAACATTTTAATGAGACATTACAATCACCATTTCATATAACTCATTTTCCAAAGGTCTCTTGACAAAGGAGCCAATTCAATGTGATGAGTATCTGAATGTGCTGCATTCCTCCAGAGGTGTGGTATGCAAAACAACTGTGCTAATTTCACAATAAACAGAAAAGTAAAATAAGAGCCTTGTCACTGAGTGAGCACTCATGTTGGCTGAATCATTCACGTAGAGTACCAAAGGGCTGTAAGTGAAACTACTGGAAAATTCTTGAGTCTCAATTCCTACTCTTGTCTTTCAATTCCAAACTAGGCAGCCTTTTAGTTAAAAGAATTCTGTAGCAGGGCCATCCCTGGTGGCCTAGCGGTTAAGTTCAGCACACTCTGCTTCGGCAGCCTGGGTTTGGTTCCCCTGGCGCAGACCTACACTGCTGGTACCAGTCATGCTGTGCTGGTGGCCCACATACTAAAAAATAGAGGAAGATTGGCACTGATCTTAGCTCGTAAAAAAATCAGACCATCCCCTACATTTGGGAACCATTGTTTATATGACAATGAGAATTGATGTTTTGACTCTGCTGACACTTTTAATTTAGAAATAAAAACCATTAAAGTGCAGTGTACTTATCTCTGCTTCAACAAATAAAACATGGGGATATAAGTGAATCTTGGTGACTCAAGTTCATGGTAATCAAGAATATTAGGATCGATATAGGTGACCGAGGTTCTAGTACCAGTTTTATCAATCAGTAAGCCACCTTACCTGACGATGCCTTGGTTTCTCGCCTGTGCCTTGATTGCCAACATCCCTTCTAGTTTATATTCTATATTTTTATTAGTAATTATACAGTAATATGATATAGTACAACTTCAGGAAATGCTAAGGTCGGTAGATCTTAGTTTTCCCTTTCAATCTTGGCTGCCTTCTCTGCCTTTCCTAAACAATAATAGGCTCTCAAAAACGTGAATGTCTGGATGCCATATTTTTTGGCTATAACAGGTATTTCCTCTTTTTTCTCCAGGATAACCCTTTCTGTTCTCTTCTGGCACCATCCGTGGGTTTTCTTCTTATTGCCCTGTCAATCTCCCAGTTATTGTCACTTTTCCCAGTATCTCTACCTTTTCCATTTTTGTCTTTTCAGCAGATGAAAACACATCTTCTGATCAAATCGCTTCTGTAACCTTCATTCTTCTGACTGGTTTTGTTCATGCTCCTGCTCAGAGACTGTTTTGGTTGTTTAATGGTTCAGAGTTCTAACAGTTTTCTACAACTATCTAAGAAATAGTTTTTGAGCATCTACCATTGCCAGGTACCATGATAGTCCTTTAACAACTTGGGAAAGAATTCCTTCAATGTATTCCATCATTAAAGTGGGGAAGCAGCAGATATGACAGCAAAAGCACATGGAACAAAAACAAACAAATGGTAATACTTTAAACTAAAAAGCTTCTGTACAGCAAAGGAAGCAATCAACAGAGTGAAAAGGCAACCTAAGAAATGGGAGAAAATATTTGCAAGCCATGTATTTGGCAAGGGATTAAGCTCTAAAATATTTAAGCAATTCCTGTAACTCAATAGTAAAAAAAAAAACCTAATAACTTGACTAAAAAATGGGCTAAGGACTTGAATCGCTATTTCTCTTAAAGACATACAAATGGCCAAGTATATGAAAAAATGCTTAACGTCATTAATCATCAGGGAAACGCAAATCAAAACCACAATGAGATATCACTTCACACCTGTCAGGTTGGCCATTATCAAAAACCAAAACACAACAAAGTACTGGCAAGGATGTAGAGAAATTGGAAGCCTTCCACACTATTGGTTGGAACGCAAAAATGGTGCAGTCACTAAGGAAAACAGTATGGAGGTTCCTCAAAGAATTAAAAACAGAACCACCACATGATCCAGCAATCCCATTTCTGGGTATTTAGCCATAATAATTGAGATCAGGATCTTGAAGAGAGATTAGTACTTCTATGTTCATTGCAGCACTGTTCACAAGAGCCAAGATGCGGAAACAACCTAAACATATGACAGTTGAATGAATAAAGGAAACATGGTACATTCATAAACTAGATACTGTTCAACCTTAAAAAGGAAGGAAATTCTGCAATATGCAACAACATGGATGAACCTTGAGGACATTATGCTAAGTGAAATAAGCCAGTCACAGAAAGACAAATACTGCATGAATTCGCTATTATACAAAGGCATGGCACTACTTCCTGGATGTGAATTTCTCTGGTTGCTGGACCAGAAATGATTCTAAGGTCCTGCAGCAGTGGATTTATTGTTACCTTCCAGGCAGCTGCATGGATCTTGCAAGTGATCATGCTTCCCTTACTAAATAACCTCCTAAACAGCTTTGCACTAAATTGATTTGACTCACCTTTAGCAAGTTTACAGGCCTTCATTAAATCCCTTCGTGTACTCATGCCACTTCCGGTTCTCTTATTTTGTTATAATGCCAAACTATTTTTCTTTTGTTCTTTTAAAAAGCTTTTGCTATTGATGTTTAATCTTAATTAGAATTTTTGTAAGCCACCCTAAATCACTTTTAAAAAACTGTGATAAATAGACTTCAAATTCCACTCAAAGGAAAAAAAAAGAAGGAAGCAGCAAAATGTGGTGCCTGTGTACACAGGTATGGAGTAAGACTTCCAAAGTTGAAATTCTTACTCCTCCAGTTACGAGCTAAGTGAACCTCGGGCAAGTCACTAGACATTACTGTGCCTGGTTTCTATTGTAAAATGGAGACAATCGTTCCTATCTCATAGGGTTGTTTTAAGTTTTAAATAATATCAGTAAATATACTTAGAATGGTGCATTTAGAACAGTGCTTGAACATGCAAATGTTGCCTGTGAGAAATTTATTTTATGCTGTGGTTTAACTTTAACATACATAGCTGGGTTTACAATCTAATGTCAACCTAAACAAACCAGGATTCTCATCATAGCCTCTAACAGACTGTGTGGACACGATACTTTACAACTAGGAAAACTCTTTTGATCTTATTTACTCCATTTTCTGCTGACAAAAATTATCAAATACAGGCATATTTCCTTAAGGGAAGCTGGATATTAAAATCTGGACTTATAAAATGGGTTCAAGAATTGTTTTCCATAAACATTTCGATGTTTAAAAAAAAACTTTTTAAACAAAACACAACTTGTACTCTGCCACTGCCAGGAAGGATTTGAAGCAGCAAAATATTAAGATACAATAAAGCGGAGGGCTTTTTTTTTTTAAAAAAGGCAAGAGCCAAGGAAAAAGGTGTACACGAGTGAGAAGGGAGAAAAACTATATCAGAACACATTGGCTAAAGGAAGTTACTACAGTTGAAAACAGAACTTCATTTCCTTAGAGGGCAGCCAAAGCAAAGAGAGAAACATGAGAGGTGTCCCAACTCTCTATTTCAATGAAAGGAAGTTCGCCATTAATCAGGAGCAATACTTTTATTTGTTTCTAAGCTAGCATAGGGTGTATGGAGAACCCTGATTATAATGGGTAAGAACTTTGACAGCAGTTACAAAAAAACAGCAGAGACAGTTCACCTTTGGCAAATATCTTGTCTATTAGGGGTCTCGATCTAAAATCCAAGACTGAGCTCCTGATTCCACAACCAGTGCGGCCTCCCCACACATTATTCTTCTCCTAGTCTTCTCCACTTCAATAAGTGGCAATTCTATCCTTCCAGTTGCTCAGGCTAATTGAGCCAAGTCACCCTTGTCTCCTCTTCCTTTTTTCACACCCGTGTCTGATCTGCCAGCAAATATTGTCAGTTCTGCCTTCAAAACATATCCAGATTCTGGTCACTTTTCAAACCAGCTCCACAGCCACCACTTGATCCAAGTCACCATCATTTCTCTCCAGGATTACTACAATTATCTCCTGCCTGGTTCCCCTGCTCCCACTTCCGTCTATCTGCATCCAAATAAAATACAAGTCAGAACATTTTACTCCCCTGCTCAAAATCCTCCTCGGGCCCCCATCTCACTTGGAATGAAAGCCAAGGCTCAGGAGGCCCTCCGTGATCTAGTTTCATCTCCACGCCCCACTTCACCTGCATAGCTTTACCTACTACTCTTCCCCCTTTTCATACCACAGCCACACTGGCCTCTTCGCTATTACAGAAATATTTGAAACACACTTCTACTTAAGGACGCTTGCAACTGCTGTTCCCTCTGCCTAAATGCTCTTCTCCTAAGAAGCTACTCCCTTCAGCTCCTTCAGATCTTTATCTAGACACCAGCTTTCCCTGGGGCTTTCCCTTGCCCTCCCCTTTAATAGTACAAACACTCCATACACACACATTGCACATGACATTTTGTATCTCCTTTTTCTGCTTTATGTGTCCCTTCAGCAGTGTTCAGTATCTACCATACTGTATCTTTTCTTTTGCTTGTTCATATCTATCTTCCCCACCAGAATATAAACCCCATGAACGCAGGGATTGACACTTTAGGAAGAACATGAACCTTTTTTTTTGTGAGGAAGATTGGCCCTGAGCTAACATCTGTGACAATTTTCCTTTATTTTGTATGTGGGACACCACAACAGCTTGGATTGATAAGCGTTGTGTAGGTCTGCATCTGGGATCCGAACCCAAGAACTGCAGGCAGTTGGAGCGCGCAAACTTAACCACTACGCCACAGGGCCAGCCTCAGAACATGAACCTTTTATGGTCATGGAGGCACTATTTAAACAGTGACTTGCAAAGAGCCACCTCTCTAGCAGGGCTTAACTTAGAAAAAGGTCTTAATTATTCAACCACTAAACAAAGTTCCTTTATTAATAAGTAAGAGATGCTTTCCTAAGAGAACTAAAGATTTAAAATGTTATGCTAAATGCAAACTCCTCTATTTCAAATGGATATTTTTGGAGTGTAGGGTACATTTGTCCACAAGTTTTCACTTCTGGTTTCTCATTCTGAGTTATGCAAAAACGAACTCACAGAGACAAATTCAAATGTCTATTTTGAAAAGTATTTACTTAGTTTGAATAAATTAATTGCAAATAAAAATTAGCTACAATATATAGCCTGAATAGAAATGACTAGAACAAATACAATAACAGGACTTGATTTCCTTGCATTAGTCACAAAGCATGTGACAATCTAGAAAACTTCAAAATCAATTATATTTCTTTGAAAAAGGGGTAACAGCAGTTACTGATACATCACAACTAGTAAACTTATAATACAAGTTTCCTGACATGCATTTCCTGAGTGAACCCAAATGATCATTTTTAAAAACAAGGAAATTTTGACAAGTTGAAGTGAAATAAAATAGTTCATGGCTTCTAAGCAACAGGTTTTGTTTTTTTGTTTTTTTAAACCAAAAGAAAATTCAGAACAGCACTGTAATAGGATAAATTAAAGCTATGCTACCACATATAAAAATCAGCTAGAGTCAAGTATTATACAACTTTTTGAACTAAAGGAAAACAAATCAAAAGATTAAAAAAATGATTCTGTCTAATCTAAAAGTGTATTGATTTTTACAAGTGTCACAAAGGGTTTCATGTAGTGCAACTGTCTATACTTTCCTTGTGGTGCATTAAAAAAAAGGATGGAGGGAAGGCGGGAGAAGAAACTTTTTCTTGCTTCTGAGAGCAAAAGATGTTACTGGAATTAGAAACTGAACAGACCATGCAAGTATGTCCCTCCACTCTGCTGTCACTGGTGCTCATCTACCAACCAAACATTTCCTTGAGTCACGCTATGGCAACTCTCCTTAGGATTACAGCCCATAGTTAAGGCTGGTCTGCTAGGTTAAAAAAAGGGGACACTACTGTCACTCAACCCTTTATATCTCTCTGGATTTCTTAAAGCCTTGATAAGGCCAAATACAGAGTAGTTAATTAATCAAGCATTTCTTTTTCTAAAAGTAAATCAAGTCATTCTCCTTTCTTGTTGATTTATGCTTTTTCTCATGGGAATGATTTTTTTCTAGAAACAGTGAACAGATGAACCACAGTCTACATCTGAAAAATAAACTTGCCAAATGTTGCTGATACTAAAAACAGATTAGTTAACATGGGAGAAAAATAGATAATCTAGATTAAATTGCATATTCAAAGGAGCATATAAAATGTTTCTTAGCATTAAGTTTTTGTTATAGTACTACACTCGAGAGAAAATTAAGGGAAAAAATCTTTCCTGATTATCTTCAATGTGGTTAAAAACAAACACCTCTTATACAATGGTAATTAATATGAATTTGGCTTTAAAAAGCATTCTAATTTAGCAAATTCCATATTTAGATGGGGTAGGGAGAGAGGCTCTCTTGTCCTTCTTCCTAACCTTGCAAATCCTTGAGCTACGTTTGCTAAACTACCACTCACACCAGGAGTGTGACACCATCATTACCATGCTACTCTATCAAGAACATTCTAAGACATTTTCTATAATAAAGATAAATAGAAAAGAAGTTAATATACATGTTGCTGTATTTTACAATGTTTGCAACAAACTGTAAACTAACATAGTTTGAACCAACAGTACCCTCAGTTATACAAAACAACTTTTCAACACTGAGGATGGGTGATTCAAAAACACTAAAATGAAGGCATCATCAAATTAGACTATGTCTTTTTCTCCTCAAAATATATTTTCAAAATTCAGTATTCAGAAGTCTGGTACTTTCGGAAATTCCTTTGCTCAAGTTTCCCAGATTTTAGCTCAGAAATTGCTACTATTTATTATAAAGGTTTAAAAAAATTCTTCATCTTAATGCAAATGACCAGAGCAGAGAAACTGTGACGTGGACAACAGGTTGGAAAATCAACTCACTTAGCTTATAAATTTATAATGTAGTCCTGGAGGACAACTGTTTATTAGTCTAGAGGTCCTTGGAAAATAAGTCTGATGTAGCCTTGTTCACCAGCCAACTGATGTGCACAGAAGGGACAGGCTGCATGAAAAGTATGAGTACCATGAGGAAGAGGGATCTGGGACCAATAGGCAGTCGTCTTTTCTGAACACACATGCCCACACGGGCTAAACGCATGGGTTGGAGGGCCGGCGTCCACATAAAATCCAGCTTCACATCCAAGCCACAGAGGGACATAGGGACCAACAGACCTACACATAGGACATTCACGATCTTTTCCATCACGTTCTTCTTTGTTTCCCCAGTTATGATAGCCATGCACATGGCCACAGTTTAGGTATACCCAGGGTTGTTTTTCATCGACAACATCTTTCCTCTTCATACTAGGAAATGCTAGTGTGTTGAACCCTACAGGGCACTGAGGTCGTGCTGCATTGATTTCCTGTCTTAAAGCTTCTAAATGCTTTACTGTAGGAGTGTGGGAAAGGCCTTCTGCAGTACGCCACAGCAACGTTGCACCACAGAGGTCAATTAATGAGCCATCTTGCAACTGATTGGTTTCAATTTCCACCTAGGGGAAACAAGAAACAAAAAATACATTCATCACTGTCTTGAATTTTTACATAAGAGTTATGTTTTTACATGCTCCTTACTGAAGAATTGAGGTTTCCTATTATTGTTACTAAATATGTAAGAAACTCCAATGATAGTCATGAAAAACATAAGTTTGAAAATCAAGGATAAAATATTGAGGAGTAACATATTTCTTTTCAGCCTTAAAGACAATTTATGATTAAAACATCTGGTTAGTCAGTAAGTCTAATATTTCCAATAAATATCATGGTCAAAGATATACAGATATAAGTAGAAAACAGAGTTCTGTTTAATTTAGGAAAGCTTAGGTTTTAAAATATATTAACATAATACGAAAAAATAAATTTTTAGTGTCTGAATAGAAAGATTAAGATATTATCCTCTCGTATAGTATTTAGTAGTCAGTGTTTGATAGTCAGACTTAGTACTCTGTGTCAGCAAGAGATTTAATTAAGAGTTTTGGGTAATATGTAACGCATGTAGTCCAAATCACCCTATGTGTTTATTGTAGCTAAATAAGAAGCTACACCTCAGTACTTACCATTTTTCCTCTCTGCTGAGCTGATCTGGTTTCACGCAGGCTGAATACATTTCCACACACTGATATTTCTCTCCATATTCCAGGCTTGGAGTCTTCTGTGAACCCATTGCGTGGATGCATAACAAGAACACCGTTAGTAGTCAAGCCGTCCATCTGCCCATCTGATGTCTTCCATTTGGCAGCCTTCTCCTAGTAGGAATAAGAATAGTGAGCTTCCATTTATTTGTAATTTGGAAATAGAAGTGGTTATAAAATAATGCATCACTTAGGAAAAAAGCTTTTTACCCCAAGAAAGATGTTTTTTGATGAGTCAAATCCTGCAGCATAAATCCGTGCTGTAAAGGGAGGATTCCGTTCACATATGATTCTACAGGCAAATCTTGAAATAGTGCTTTGCACTGACTGTGTATCAGAATTACTTTGACTTCCAGGAACTGTGTCAGTTACCACAAAATCAATGGGACTTTCAGTCGACCGACCAATCTAAGGGAAAAAGAAATATCTATAAACCCATTCAAAGGAACACAGTGGAGAATCCATTCAAGCAAGGCATAATAAGGTGAAATCATTAAGCCTCTGAAATTTCTAAAGCTCAAACTTAACCATATTTAACTCTGGGGCATCTATACCCTTGAAAACTAATCTGTCAGACTTGCTCTGATGTAGTAATCACTAAGAGCATAGAATTAAGTGGGAATTTACAACCGAGAATATATGAAACCTTTAGGGAATGAAGAGCGTAGGATGGCTGAGATTTCTAGATGGCTGCAGATTTTATTTTTAACCCCTTTGGATGGAAATATGTCTACCATGTATTACTACTACCTTCTTTCACAGAATGTAGTGAACATGTAAGTAAATCTTTTATGATGACTCCAGGGCATTATACTATGGACACCATTTACATTAAACTGAAATGCAGTGATGTCTTCAGATGCTATAAAGTGTACAAGAACACTGATCCTTACATTAAGGGCTTACACAGTCTTGCTTTGAGGTCTCATGTATACTTCACAGATTTTCTTGTCTCTTTTCTGTCAGGTTGTCAGCTATCATTTCTGGCTGCTGGGCATACTTGTCTCTAGCAGCATACCCTTCCTCTAACCAGCTACTCTTATTCTGCTATGGGTTGAGAAATCAAATAACCAAACTTCAAAGAATAGCATTTCACAAGGGTCTTGGTGAGAGCCTAAGGGATTCTCCAGGGAGCAGAGAAAAGGAATTTCAGTGCATGCATGGCCTATGTGGCATTTATTTTATATGCCTAGACGTACTTCTTATTTTTTTCCTAGTTCTTGGACATATTTCAGAGTGAAGCTTCCCATATAAGAGTTCTGGTGGGTGAGGTGTCAGTGAATTAAAAACATCTTCAAAGGTGCTAGCTAGTAAATAAATTTCATTTTGAAAGATGAAAGTTGAAAAGAAAAAAGGAAATCAGTGGAATAGATGACAGAACTGACAAGTGTCACAGGGTTTTAAACATTTAAAATGATCAGTTTATTAACGTATTTGTTATAAAGTAATATCATAAAATTGAACAATGTGGGTACTGACAAAAAATAGTGACTCTCTACAAAGATGATGACTTAACAGTCATTCTTTGCATGGCTGAGCCTCAAAAACTCCTCCTATCAGCACACTTTCAGATAAAATTCTTTAGTGTTTTGTCCTATCATCAAGTCTAAAGTCTTTATTTAGTTTGGATAGTTTTAGGGGGAAATTGGTTGGTTAACAAGTTTAAGACTGGATGTCCCTTTTCCTTATTTCTGAGATAATGATATCCAAAGAAAATGTTCTCAGACCTTTGAAACTAAAAATATTTCCAAAAATAAAAGGCTCTTTTGGAGCCAAAAGGTGTAGGCCAGGGGTTGGATTGAGGATTGATAGTCAGAGTCAAGGTATTCAGAAGCGGCACTTATTTGGGAAGAGAGATTGTTCCAGAAGAATTAATATTTGATCTAGGCCTTAGAGAAGAGTGAAGATGTCAAAGCAATACTGGTAATGACAGGTAAGAAGGAAGAAATCTTACTATCTATAAAGAGGAAAAATCTACATGATTGTGATCAGATGTGCGTCACTAGGATATAAAACTGTTAGGATAAACTTTAGTAATTCCTCCTCTTTCTAATTGCTACTATTAAGCTTTAAAATACAGATCTTATCATGTCATTCTCTCCCAGCCCCATTAAAAACCTCAATGGTTCCTTAGAACCTATCTAAACTTAGTTTCTTATTTCTGATAATAACTAGAAACTGATTTCACAATTTGCCTCCCACCTACCAATCCAACCTAAATTCATGTTATTTCTGTTCACCCAAAAAGTATTTTCTGGTGACAAGTAGCTTATTCATCAATCTTCTACCACACTGTGTACTTCTCTGCCATCTCTATTGTCAGAAGGCCTTTCTACTGGTTGGACTGGCAAAATTCTACTCAACTTGATAAAGAAAGGATCAGCTAACAAGGCACTACTATAAAGTCTTTTCCTCACCCTTCTTCAACCCATTCAGTAGCCTGCACTTCACATTTAGACCACAAGTGTAGCACCTATGCATGTAATCAACTTGTAATGTCTCCTTTATTTACTTCATAGTGTCCAGCAATGCATACATTCAGAGTTTGAAGATCTGATGGCGTGAGTAAGAAATGTTCTTGTTCAGTTTAGAACGTAGGCAATCTTATGATGCTTATAAAACCAGTTCCTCAAAGACTGGCTAATATATCGGAGTAGTTTCTGATGTATCTCAGGTTTTTTAAATGTATAAATGTTTGGATTTTCCGTAGGTATAATGCTTGTAGACAGGGTATAGTCAGTTTACCATATTGGGAAATACTCTCTATTCCCTTATGAAAAGGAGAAAACCAAAAGTGTTACAACTTTTTAAGGACCTTCATAAAATGATGAAGACACTGTTCCATAATTCACAATGCCTGGTTTAATACCAATTTTGCTCCCAACTAATTTTGCAATCTTTAACTCACAAGATTTCAGTAAGTTTATCAATAAAAGATAAGGGATAAACAAATAAATACAAGGTACCTTCTGCAACTAAAATTCCAGTCTATAATCACATATCTAGGTAGCAACCTGATTTTTAAAAAAGCTAACTAATCACATTCATTTTAACTGGTTGTCAGTAAAATAAAATGTGGAAAATCATCTTAAAGCTTGTGTTAGGTTCTAATTAAAATCTAAAACTTCATCTTCTTTAAGGATGTTATTTACTTTTTTTTTTTGGTAAAAACAAAGGAAGAGATAAACAAACATCTGTACTCTAATATTAACTATATAGACACTATTCTAAAAAATTTGGTATAGTCAAGTTTCCCGTAATGATGAAGATACGTTCTAAGAAATGTGTCCTTAGGCGATTTCATCATTGTGCGAACATCATAAGAGTGTACCTACAGAAACCTAGATGATATAGCCTACTACACACCTAGGCTATGTGGTACTAATCTTATGGGACCACTGTCACTCATGCGGTCCATCATTGACCAAAACAGTGTTATGCGGTGGATGACTGTATTCCATTAAAAGGGCTGGGAGAAAGCAGATGACTTCAAAGTTTTTTTGTTTTGTTTTTTAGGAAGATTAGCCCTGAACTAACATCCGCCACTAATCCTCCTCTTTTGCTGAGGAAGACTGGCCCTGAGCTAACATCCCTGCCCATCCTCCTCCACTTTATATGTGGGACGCCTACCACAGCATGGCGTGCCAAGCGGTGCATATGTCCACATCTGGGATCTGAACTGGCGAACCCCAGGCCGCTGAAATGGAATGTGCGAACTTAACAGATGCACCACCAGGCCGGCCCCTCAAAGAAATATTTTGACATTGGTTATTACTAAAGACATCTCTAGGCCTTTTCACATTCATTTAATCTTGTAAATAAAGAAAACGGAAAAGTAATTTGGATAAGTGTAACAGCAACATTATCAGGTACTTTATGTCCTATTTAAGTTTATTTAAAAAAAATCCCAGGGCTTTACTAAAGCCAATTATTAAGGGAAAAGATACCATGAATTTTGCTTACATCTTTGGGTTTGGTTGTTCTATCATCTATCAATTTATAAAAATATCAGCAATGGATTAGTACAAAGAATGAGAGAAAAAAAATGTTGTACTGCACCAATAGCTTTGACCAAATAAATATGTGCCAAGAAACAAGTTTGATTTCACATATGTGATGTGAACAGTTAGAAACTGCCTGTACTTTTTGTTGCCTAAGAAGGAAGGTGGGAAGCAGTTGCAAAAAAAAGTCATAAATGTATGCAGAATATTTCTTGGTTCCTTTTTGGGATAATAATAGCTAACAGAGCTATTATCATAGCTACTATTATTAATAGCTAAGTGTTTACCAGCTACCTGGCACAGCTCTGGGCACTTTACATGTCCTAACACAGTTAAGCTTCCTAACAGTCATTCGAGGGAAGTTCTGTTATCTGCACTTCACAGGAGGAAACTCAGGCATAGAGTGGCTAAGTGATGTTTATCAGGAATTCTGATTTCAGAGCCCATCTCTTAACCATGCTATGCTGACTTCTAAATATGGGGTTTAGAAATCAACATATATTTTTATGAAATACATTATTAAAATATGATGACAGCAAAAGTTACTGACAGGTTTTTAATTTTTGTGTTTTTTAAGAAAAAAAATTCAGATGTATACCTGAAACATATCAGTGTTGCTGTCATAAGTATATTCAACCACCACTGTCTGGGCCCGAGATAAGGTATATGATATGCTATGCTGGTCCTTGTTGCTTATTGCCTAAGAAAGAAAAGATTAATAGCAAAAATTAGCTGGCAGGTCAATCAAATCAGATAATCTTTTCACTAAAAAAAGAGAAAGGTAATCTATTTATCACATACATGACATATTTTCCCCTTGAAATTTAGGGTAAAGATTAATAACTCTTGCATAACCTCAGCTGTGACAGTAGTTTCTTAGGTTCACTGGGTGTAGAAAAATACTTTGAAGCAGTTATAGAGTTAAGAACATAATTTCATAGTATAAAAACAGTATAAAATCTGGATCTCTTTTGTAAGTATTTTAAATTATAAAGTAATCAAAACTAAATCACATCCAGAAAGTGAAAACAGTCCTCAGTACTGCTTTGATCAGGAAAAAATATAAAAAGCTGCAGGATAAGAGGAATCTTATTTTTAAAGTAACTCAAAGAGTTATACTTAACCAATAAGCAGAGTTTACTGTTTTCCTAACCATTGTGTGAGTCTATAGATGACAAATATTTGCCACATGCTGGGCTAGATACATACAAATTCATAGAGTGATTAAACATTACCAAAGGAAGTGAATAGAATGCTTATGACTGTACTTCTGACCTATCCCAAACTAAAAATATTGCTAAAAAGAACTTTTCAGTTTTGTTTTCAGGCGTTTTCTATGTACATGAGTTGAAGATAACATCAGAGGGGGGAAAACCTACACAAAGGAAGTGGAAACAGGTTGCGTAAAAGGAAAACAGATACAAAGACACAAAAGAATGATTATACACAGTAAAGAGGCTAAATGAAAAAAAGTTTCTTAATTAGAACTTTGGCATATAAAATTTTACTTGCTTTCAATTTGTAGGTAATCTGTTATAGATAAAAGTTTTAAAACAACAGCTTTAAGATTGTGAAAATTTCAAATATACAAAGAGAATAAACACATACCTGGGTGCTAACTACCTGGCTTTATGAAAGCTTAAAAATGCCATTTTTGCTTCTCATTTTTAATAAGAATCTAAACTCTACAGATACAATCAAGGCTGCTCACATATCCCTCCCTAACCCCCTTTCTTCACAGAGGTAAACAACCTCAAGAACGCAGTCTAGATCATTCCCATGCATGGTAACATTTTTTTACTACACATTCATGTATTCATAAACATTATATAATTGTTTTATAGGCTTTATAACCTACAATTACTTTAATTCAGTATTAAGCAACTGATTTTTCAATTAAATAATTGCTCAGTATTTTGGAAGTTAATTCTTAGTGGCTAAAGAGATTTAAAAACACAGTTTTTTGTGTACTGTGAGACTGTAATCCTTGGTTTGTTTTTTTTTTTACTGTTAAACCTACTCTTAGATTGAGAATAAGAACTATGTCAAGTTAAGTTCCCACTGGACTGGAAGGCAGGGATTAACCACTCATCCCAAATGACCGCCAGACTAAACAATGAGCTTTCTTCATGACCTCACTACTACATTCCTCCAAAATTGAAAGAGGAAAGAATCAATCTTTGATCCCTAAGATTCCTGTTGCCTAGTAAAGATGAAAAGGAGCTAACAATAAAAAACACCAGAAGTATGATGGTAAAAATGCGAGCCACAGAGAGGATATTATAGAGGTAGAGATTAGAGATATTTTCTCTATGACAGTGGTTCTCAACCAGAGGTTGTATTAGCTGTGTAAGGGGCATTTGGAAACATATGGTGCATTTTTTTGGCTGTCACAGTGATTTGAGGGTTTAAATGGCATTTAGTGGGTAGGGATCAAGAATATTCAATGTCCTGCAATATATGGGACAGTCCTGCACAAAGAAGAGTTGGCACATCCAAAATGTCAAGAGCACTCCTGTGGAGAGATACTGGAAAGAAGCTCCTCAGATTGGATCCATAAGCTGTTCACTTCCACCACCTGCTTAGCATATCCTTTCTCTGCAAAGCAGTAAAAAGAAACACCTAAAAGAAACTGTCCCTTTTCTACATTCACTGGCTTCCAAATAGTAATAGAGGAGGCCTAGTCAAGGCATAAGGACTCTGTTTTAGACACCACAGTGGATATAAAACAAAGCCAAAAATCCAATTAACTTCAGGGACTGGAGCTATGACCTAAAACAAGGCATCAGATGCTAATTTCTCTGTCTCTCATTTATTCAACTTACAAAGATATACCTCATATGGTACAGTATTAATGCACATCCTGGGGCTGCTTAGCTAAAAATACAGGTACTTCCAGAAGTCAAGGAACTCTAAGTTTTATTGACCCATTACACATCAAATTCAGTCTGTGTTATAAAATTTGAAGTAGAGAGATTCATAAGAAATGTAAAGATCTGAAATTCCCCTAATTGTCTATCACTCTGGGAAAAGCCCAAGTGTGCTGAAACGGTGGCCCGGCTTCTGGAGATTTTGGTACAGAAAGAAAAAGGGGCTTTAGAAGCATTAAACAGACCAGGAGATCGAGAAGTTATATTGTAGATACAACTGGATATTTGCTTTCATAGCTTTGATTAATAATTATTTAGGTCTACTTCATTCAAGCTATGCTAAATGCTGAGTCTTAACAAAAAATGAAAACAAGAGCATCCATAGAATCTTTGATAAAGACCCTTAGTTAAAAAAATGACCTCATCCAAACATGCTTCTAGCAGCGGAATACACTTATTAGATAAAACTGCATCCCTTGCCCAGCCAGGCGAGGCCCCCCAGGTAATAGGGAGAACTCCCTACTTCTCAGGGTAGACAGCCACACAACTCTTAATACCAGGTAAAGTCCTTTTTTAATAAGAAAAGGGAATGTCTCCTAATTTTCACCCATTGATCCTGGTTTGTCAAAAACAAATGTCCAATACCCTTCTCTATGGCAGCCCTTCGAACATCGTGTCTCCGAAGTGTCTTCTCCCATCCAATCAAAAGGAAACTTCTGGTAGAGAATGTGAAGAGAATGCTAGAGAATATAAACAACATGTAAAGGCTTTCAATTTCTCCAAGTTTATTGATTTAGTTTAGGGTTTTTTTTTACCTTTGCAGCCTGAGGAGTACAAGCAATATGCACAGTGCTGGGCTTCACCCCATTTGCCTTGGGTCTTTTAAATAGAGCAAACCTACTTTTCCTCCTTCCTCTATCGCCATTTGGGAGAGACCCATTATACCTGATGGGGAAAAAAAATGCAGGTGATCTCTTGTAAGAACCAGACAATTCTAGAAACAAATGCTTTACTTTGCCTTATAGGATCAATCCCCAACTAATGATCTATGAGCACATTATAAGTATCTCAAATTCCTTTGAGTAATCGCTGATCCCCAGACCAGCTGCCTGAGTGTGAAACAAAATGAGATTCTTTCGGGCTACATTCCAAGTCACAGAAAAGTACCTTTTGGATTATACACAGCTGTGAGTTATCTATATTTTTCTTCCCTCTTTTATTCAAGATAATCAAGAGCTGATTAACAGCATATCTGACTCCATATGACTCATTCAATTTTTTTTAAAGGTGAATGTTTGCATGTGCTAATACAACCTTTAAAAGTACAGTATGAATTATTTAAAATTGAATCTCCTTTAATTGTGAACCAAACAGTTTAAACAGCTGAACTTTCAAAATAAGAATTTTTTAGACTTGTTAAGTCTCAACAATTTGAATGTACACATACGCATTCACATTATGTTGGCAAAACCTGTCTGACTGAGATGCCTGCTAAGTAGTAGTTAAAAGTAGTTTTGGTGTTGACATCTTATGACCATTTCTCCATGACCACATATAGATATGTCCTGAAGGTAAGCAAGTAAGCAAGGACTGATCTAATAGGAAAAAAGTTCAAAACAAAACCTTTGAACGTTTACTATGTACTAGGCACTACTGGGTTCTATCCCATACATTACCTCACTTAATCTATCCTCATAAGAACCCTTTGAGGTTGGCATCACTTTCCACTTTTACAGGTTAGGAATTAAGTTATTCCACAGAGGAATTTAAGTTATTTTCTGAAGGTCACACAAGTGACACTGGCAAAGCTAGAATTTGAATCCAGGTGTTTATCACGCATTTTTGCATTTTTTACTGCTTCATTATGGCATGAGCAGTAGTTTAACAATAATCTCTCCTCATTCATGGGCCCCCCTGCACCCTGGAAAAAACCTTTGGTTTGATGGTTTCTCATGTATAGTTGGCCAATCTAGGGGAAATGAAGCAGGAAATAGTGACAATTTTGAGGCTGGAGGTGAATGTGATGGTAAAATGGCCTACATTCGTGGCTGACAAGGAAGAGAAGGGAGTTTACTCAAAGACTACCATATATGGAAATTATACTGATCCTTTATGGAAAATAAAACACTCTGATTTCTATTGGAGAATGCCCTTGCTAATCTTGCTAGGCTTGCTGAAAGTTCAGAGTAGCGCCCCTTAGCTATCACATTGATTTTGCTATTCTAGGCTGTGTGTTGCCACCAGTCTCATGGTGGGTTTCTCACTGCCCCTCACTACTGTCCACTGGGTTGCGTGACTAGTTCCTCTTCCGGAGATATGCTCTCTATTCCCACAGTGTGTTTCTGTACCTCAAAGCTCTTCTGTAAGCAGCAACAGCACGAAACTGACAACCTTATCCAGCTTTACTCCTCCTTCTGGAGGACTGGGAAGAAGCATTATTTGCATTTTAAGACACCAAGCCCCAGATACAGAGACAGCTGCAATTGCTAAGGATTAACTGAGAAACTGCTGGGCTAAGGGAGGCAACTGAAACCATACACTAAACTTTAAATTCTAGTTGTCAAACGACTCAAATTTCTTGCTAGAAGAATTTAACTTGGAACAGTTTTTTGGTAGTTAAAAGCTGTTTGTCATTAATATATTAAAATCTATGTGATTTGAAGTTGTAATAGGGTAGTTACTATATTAAGTCTATGATCTTTTAAATTCTGTTTTTGAAAGAAAAATTTTAAGTCTCAAAGAGTCTAGATGATCTTGTCTAATTGTCATTTTACATAGGAGGAAACTAAGGCCCAGAGTGGTTAAGTGACGTTCCCAAGGTCACACAGCTAGCAGAGCTGGAATAAGCACTGGAATCCAGGATTCCTGACTTCCAGCCAAGCTCAGTAACTCCATATTATCTTCACAATTTCTCTTACTCTCTCATCTGAAATAACGGATACATTCTCACTTAAACAAGAACTTATCCCAACCTGATTCTAAAACATATGTTAATGTTTAGAGCTGCTTTTTAGGCAGAAGAAGGGCAACAGTAGGGGGGAAGTAAATTCTACAATTTCTAGTTTCTGAGATCTCTAGTTAGACTAATACTGTGCTTCTGTTTTGACAGTTATGGCAAGTTTAGATTAAAGAACAGATGATTCCATTATTTCAATTGATTTAGACTGTGTCTGTGTGAGCTGTATGGATGAGACGACTTTTGAAGCAAACAAGTAGTGAGGTCCTGGGCTTCAGAGTCATCATATTGTTACGCCTATACAACTCCTTTCATCAAGGACCACAGCACAAAGCAACTATACTTCAGAGGGGCAAAGGAACAAACAAATCCTAACCTACATGAAATGACCTAAAGGGGGAGTCAGCTGAGGCAAATTTTTCTAAAAGATAGGAGAGGGAAGACAAATGATGTGATTATGTGACTGTAGACAAATACATTTTTCATTTCATCCTGAAGAAGCTTTGTCCTTTCAGGGGGTGAGGGCGAGGCAAAGCTTGTGCAGTATTTCAGTATTTCAGCACTTATAAGAGATGGCATAAAAATGAGAATTCAAAGAGTTTCCTGATTTAGTAATATTACCCTGTAGCTGTAAATCCTTTTTGGAAATAGGTAGGATATAAATTCTAAAAAAAAGTACTTTTAACCTAGATGTCAGAGTTACTCTATCTGATTAAGTTTTATGTGTCATCAGAGGGAGAAACCTTACCCTAAGACAATGAGTTCACCATATTTTACGGGTGCCTTGGATGGATGATTTTCTTGATCAGGAGAAAACATGAGCTTGGCTGTCTTTCTCAAATCTTTGTTCACTGGTCAGGAGCCTTGGGACACCTTTTGCATTATTTCCTAGAGGGGAAAAGTTTTCATTAATAATGTGAACAAAAAAATTTCAGTTTAAATAAAGATGTTATTTTCCAGTAATCCTCGTGAGTACAATATTATGCAAAATATCACATACTATAGAAAGTATTAACGTTTTCCCAAATAATGTTATATATTTGATACAACTGTTTAAACAGATTAAAAATGTAAATGTAGGGACTTCCACTTCCAGGAAGATGGAGTAGATGTATTTTCCCGTATTATTTCCACTAAGTACAACTAAAAACTGTGGCCATTATATATAAAACACAAGAACTCTGAAAAGTAGAGATAAGCCAGACCAGCTAGGGACCTCAGGGCCTAATTTCTGCCTAAGATATCCCAGATTTGGAGCTGAAGAATCCAGCAACTTGGAAATGCCAACTGGCAGAGACCAAAAGAAACCCCAACAAAAGCTTGCTCTCTCTAGTCAAAGGAACAAGAAAGGGCAGCCTTAGCAGGACAGCAAGCTTTTGACAATAACTGCTCTACTGCAGCCAAACACCACAGGAAACACTGTGGCCCCACCACCACCCACACCAGCAAGAGCCAAGTTGGGAGCCTAGACTTACTTCTACTTCATGTGGGCATAATGAGGAGGCCAACCCCTCAACCACAGTAGTGTCATGGCCTTCTACCCTGCTGGCTGATAACATGCCCACCACACCTCTATTCTAGTGGTATCAGTGGAGACCACACGGGGAGCTTTGACTTTCACCTTCACCCGGCAGTAATAAGGATCTCCTTTCCTCGGGTGTCAATGGAGGCTGAGTAGGAAATCTGGGCTTCTGTGTCTCCCTGGCAGTAACAAGAAGGCACCCCCTTTTCCTGTGCCAAAGCAGTGTCAGCAAAACCACTGGGAACATAAGGTTTAGATAATATCCAGAGTCTCAGAACAGGTTTCGATAGAAAACCATTCATCATATCAAGAACTAGAAAGATTTAAAACAATGCAAAAAAGATAATCAACAGGTGCCAAAACTGAGATGACAGAGATGAGAGAATTACCTGACAAAGATTTTAAACGAGCCATGATAAAAATGCTTCAATTACAAACATGTTTGGGACAAAAAAAAAAATTTTGGCAAAGAAATAGAAGGTATAAAAAGCTCACTGGATGGGCATGACAACAGAATGGAAGGAACATAGTAAAGAATCAGTGAACTGGAAGATAGAAATTACCCAATCTGAACAACAGAGAGAAAATGGGATTAAAACAACAAAAAAAAAACAGAGCCTCATGGCCTGGACCTGGTAGACTACAGCAAAACAGCTAATATTTGTATCACTAGAACTGAGAAAGAGAGGAGAGAGGAGAGCTGAAAAATTACTCGAAGAAATAGTGGCTGACAACTTACCAAATTTAGAAAGAGAAACAAAACCACAGATCCAAGAACCTTAACAAATTCCACACAGGATAAACCTGAAGAAACCCATCCCAGATACACTATAATTAAATTTCTGAAAGATAAAGGCCAAGAAAATATCTTGAAAGCAGTCGGAGAGAATGTACACCTTACCTATGAGGGGAAAAGCAATTAGAATGACAGTGGATTTCTCACTAGAAACTATGGAAGCCAGAAGAAAGTGGCATATTTTTTTCAGGTGCTGAAAGAAAAGAACTGTCAACCTAGAATCCTATAACCAGCAAAAATGGAGGGGAAATCAAGACATTCTCAGATGAAGGAAAATTAAGAAAAGTTGTCACCAACAGATCTACCCTAATAGAATGGCTAGAGGAAATTCTCTAAGCAGAAAAGAAATGATGAAAGAGGAGAACCTTGAAACATCAGAAAAGAAGAAAGAAGATGGTAAGTCAAAATACGGGTAAATACAATAAGCTTTCCTTTTCTTGAATTTTATACATTATGTCTGAATGTCAAAGTGAAAATTATAACACTGTCTGACGTTGTTCCAAACGTATGTAAAGGAAATATTTAAGACAATTATATACTGCACTCCTGGGCATTTATTCTAGAGAAATGAAGTCTTACGGTCATACAAAACCTGTACACAAAATGGTTATACAGAAGTTTTATTTGTAACAGCCCCAAACTGGAAACATCCATACTGTGCAAGAGCACTGTACACGTGAAAGAGCACTGTATGTGTGCAAGAGCACTGTGCAAGAAAGAAAAAAGCTGCTGGTACATGAAACAACAGGGATAAATCTCCAGAGAATTATGCTGCACAGAAAAAGCTAACCTCAAAAGGTTACATAAATGATTCCATTTATATAACATTCTCAAAACGACAAAATTATAGAAATGGAAAACAGATTAGTGGTTGCCAGGGGTTAAGGAGCGGGTAGGAGTAGGAGGGAAGTAGGTGTACGTAGAAAAGGACAACAGGAAGAACCCCTGTGGTGATGAAAATGTTCTGTATCTTTATCAACGTCAGTATTCTGGTCATGGTATTTTATGACACTATTGCAAGTTATTACCACTGGGGGAAACTGGGGAAAGGGTACACGGGGTCTCTCTCCGTATGATTTCTTACAACTGCATGGGAATCTACACTTATTTCAAAATAAAAAGTTTAACTAAAAAATATAAATTTGACACAAGTATAAAAATTGAAAGACTAACACTTCTGATAAGCCAGAAAATTACTACAATAAACAATCCCCACAATACTATCATGTCTATTCATCAGCAGTTTAATGGGACCCGGTCTTTCCTATATCTAGTCTCTCCCTGGTTTTCCTGTTAGACCTGTTACAAAGGTTTCACAACAAAACTCTTACGAGCTAACCCATAAAAGTCTCCTGGTTTTATACTTCCACCAAAAGGTTTCATAGGAAACTCCAGAACGAAAAATGCCTCCTTGTCTTTTCCTTCAGTAGAGTGAAATACAGCCTGTGTAGCAGCACGTCTGGAGAGAGAGGCAACACAGAATATTTGTAGCCCAATGAATAAAAATAAGGAAAAGGAGAAGGCCCCCACTTTGACCCCCTTTTCTCCCTTGTAACTGATGTACACATTCAGACCAGCAATTCAGACAGACGACACACTAAATTTCATTGTTGGTAAATTAAAAAAATGCTTACTAAATTATTTTAAAGAAATGACACATGCTTAAGAACTATTTTAAGAAAAACATTTCCTCCATTTGAATACACTATAAAATCCTCTCATCCTCCCAGATGAATTTGCTTTTGATAACCAGATTTTAATTCATTAAATTCTTCAAAGGTTACAGAAACCAATAATAGCTATCTCACAATAATTGAGAGGCATTAGGTTTGTGCAGAAATGTTTTACTTAAGTAAAATAAACTATACTGATCAAATCCCCCATTTAGAAAAAGAAACTGATGTGAAGGTAACTAAAACCTTCAATGTAAAAATTTAAGAGTTTTAAGAAAAATTAGCTCAAATTAACCAAGGAACAATTTTGGTTCCACATAACAAGATCTTCTGATCTACATTAAATCATACTGTAATTTAGGGACAGGTATCCATGGCCTCTCCTTTTCCCCCTAAAGAAGCATCCCATTTTAAAAAGAAACTTAATTAGAGGCGTTAACTGTGCTTTTCCTTTTAGACAATTAAGGTACCGCCATTGAACATGAAAACACTGTTGTGACACATTTCTGACCAAGAATAGCAAGAATTAAAAACTTAGTAAGAAGAATTAATTAAATTTGAAATTTAAATCAAATTTTAATAATGTTTCTTTGCCTTGATTTGGATTCTTATTTAGAGTTACTTTCTATTTTTAGGAAGTGACGGTTTTCCATTTATAGTAGCAAAAAATTTCTTTTAAAAAACATTATTTAAAGAACCAAGTCAAATAGTATGAGTAAGTACATAGATATGGAAAAATCTGAAAGTGGTATGTGAATGCCCATATCTGGCTGACACTAGTACACAGCGTGGTTAGCAAGTATTAGTCTATGTTCTAGTTCCAGCTCTCTTTGAACAAAGCAATCTGTTTCCTCATCTCTAAAAATCAAGGAACTAAAGTAGAAGGAAGAGAATTTTGGAGCTGGAAAAAAACGTAAGAGACCATCTGGTCCTAACATAAGAATTTATAAGTAATGTGCATATAACACTCACTATACATTTAGTCCTATTGCCTCTATAGCAAAAGTGACAAATTTTAGCTTTGACAAGGAATGAGAGTTGGCATATACCCACTATTCTATACTTTCTAGAACCTTTGGCCAAATCAGCCAAGAAAAACAATATATTTCCAAATATACTTATTCTTACTCTACTTAGGTCCCTTAGAAGGCCTGATCTTGGGATGTTTCATCAGTGATATCAAAGGTACAATCACAGAAACACACTCAAACTTGGCTTCTAGATCTGTATTTAATAATCTAAAACCTATAATAAAATGCTTTAATAGTATTGGTTATTTATACATTGAGATGACCCAAAATAAACAGTTTTCTTAAATCTAAAACAGCATATAATCAATAGATATATAACTGGCATTCTTAAACAATGAATAAAATGTGCCACGACAGCTGCTGCTCCTGGAAGCTTTCACTGCAATTCTAATACATGTCGACAGGTGATTGCTGGAATCTTTATGTGTTCTCAAGATTCTTTAACAAAAGTTCACTATCTAGAAAGTGCTCTCATGCTCACTTTCTCTCTCCCTTCTCTATATTTTAAAATCTGAATAAGATACAGAATTCTTCAAAATCAATTCCTGAAGTCATGCACTTGAGAACGTGAAATGGGTATGTACCTAAAGTATATTCGAATGCCTCAATTACTGGCCCCACCTGTTGGCATTCAATTAAGCTAGCCAGTCTGATCCTATCCCAATGTGATTCAGCAAAGAACATGAAACAGTACCATTAATTATAGAGAAAATCTTGCTAAGATAATAAAGCTGTGTTCTATAATATCGATTATTTTGAAGCTATGCTTGATCCTTAAAAATTATGCATGTTGTTCTCATCAGCAGGGACCTTCCCAAGTTATACAAATTAAAAAATATATATATATTCTAGAATAGTAGTATTTT